TATCCATATCCATATCCATATCCATATCCATATCCATATCCATATCCATATCCATATCCATCCATCCATCCATCCATCCATCCATCCATCCATCCATCTATCTATCTATCTATCTATCTATCTATCTATCTATCTATCTATGATTCTGTTTTTGTGTTGTTTTATGACATAAATCCATTTTTTTAACCAAAGGACCGAAGTTGTTCAGGATGGTTTCTGGGTGAGTGGTTTAGAGATCCTCGCCCATTTATATAGATGAGTTTTCGGGTTTTGTCCCCTTTGGGGCTTAGTTGTGCACTCCCAACTCATTCAGGATCATTTTGCTCATCATGGTAGTTTACAATCATGATTATTTAAAATCTACGGTTCAGTTCCTACCTTGGGGTTGGGAGAGAGAATGGACATTCTGCTGAATTCCAAATTCTACCATTTAATTTATTTATTTATGCATTTTTATGTATTAACCAAATTTATATAGTGCCCCAACTCACAATGACACTGATCGTCATTGTCATCTTCATTTAATGACCCTATAATTCCTTGTAAGATGGAGACTGGGCAACTGAATGGAGCTAGTGGAGTGTTTTAATGGCCAGATGCTCTTCCTATTGCCAATGCGGAGTTTTGTTCGATGAGAGAAATATCTACCTCTACCTAGGATTGAACTCACAGCCTCCTGATTGTGAGGCGAGGGCTCCACCTCTAGACAACTCCACAATGTCACTGATAGAGAAGAATATTTGCAGCTCAGGGTTGAACTGTGGGGTCCTTGGTGCTCTCCCTGTGTGTGCCTGTGGGCGAGGGTCTGGGGTGCTGCCCTAGGCTGGGTCACGGAGTCAGTGGGATTGGCAATTCCAAACCAGGTGGATTTACCTTAATCTCTCCTTTCTCACATGGTTCACTGCACACGGATCTGATGACAGAACTTTTCTTTGACCAAATGTCATCATCAACCATCTTCAGCTCACCGTTGTCCCAACTTCCGACAATGATGTAATCGTATTGATCCTTCTTCATTTTCTTAAAGTTCATGATCTCATACCTTTCCAACAACAATAAAAAAGAGATCACTCCGTTGAACCTAAACCCATAATCAAGTCGAGGGTCCCCCCCCCCATGAGAAAAGAGGCACAAAATGAGGTCATTTTGTTCATTGGGCTGTTAAATTTGGGCTGAATTGAAATCAATAGGATTAATGTTAGATATGACAAGCAATCAACATATATTTATGAAAGTTGCGCTCATCATTTGTGGCCAGTGGTGGGATTCAGCTAGTTCGTTCCTATCCGGGAGAACCGGTTGTTAACTTTTGAAGCAATTCGGAGAACCGGTTGTTGGAAGAAATCTCCTTTTGTTTTTCACCACTCTACAGGGCTAATCCTGTAAGGAAGGCAGGCAGGAAGGAAACATTCTGGTGTTGTTTCTAGCCTAATCTTTATTGCTCTGCTTACAGAAACTGCCTCTCCGGTTAACCCTGATTACATTGTAACAGCTAAGGTGACGTTGAATTGGCCATGTCCACATGGTCACATGACCACTAAGCCACAACTACCCAGTGGTCATTAGGGCAGAGAACCAGTTGTTGAATTATTTCAACCCCACCACTGGGTAGATGCCCTCCCAAGGCAGGTCTGCTGAGTGGCCTCTATAACCGATGCATTGTAGGACAAGGTGACTTGAGACTTCCAGGCGTTCAGCCAAGCTAGTTCCAACCAGCAGGGCTTCGTATTTTGGACACGGTGGCAAACACAGGACCAATTGTGACTCTTTGGCAAACTGGGGGATGCAGGTGGAACTGGACCCAACTACCATTTGCAGACCATCTTTGGCCTCTGCTGAGCCTGGTCCAGAGAGGCAAGAATGATTATTT